TTATTTTGATTATCATATAAAGAGCATGATCTAAAAAGCAGAAATTTAGCATTTTTTGCATCACATTTTGAGCAATCAGTCATTTAAGTAGGAATATACTTCATAATCGAATCACCTTTTATTGTTATGAATCAATTATATGGCCTTAGTGATCTGAATTGCACTATGATTGTGAGCGCACACTTGCTCAGAAACTGTTGCAGTGCATCCAACAATAAAGGTAGCATTGTGCTTCTTTTACTTAGTGATAGAAAACACAATAGCACAGAGAAGACATCAGTTCCACATGCTGATACATTTTACCATGAACAACATGGATGTACAGCCTTATGCAAAAATTTTGTTTATTTTTTAAGTGACAATAAGTTAGCACACTTTCTGCACAGAACACACTTTTGCACGTTTTAATGCAGAATTACTGTTTATTTGCTAAATTTAACATATTGGGGAAATATGGCCTGTGAAAAGTTATGGCATATTTTAGATTTTAGATTTTATTTTTTTATTTTATCCAATATGTTAAACTCTTAAAAATAAATAGAAATTGTGACCTAAAATTTCCAGTACAATGACATATTTAAGTTGTTCCATGTAGAACATTTTTAGTTTATTTTAGAAAATCAACATATGATATTTGGGAATTAGCTAAAGGGTTAAAGGGGTCAAAGATGGATCATCAAAAATACATTAGGTAAGATAGCATTAATGTATGTGTAATTATGTAAATGTTACATAAAATCCAGATTACATAATCTGACATGCTAATGCCCCTCCAAAGAGAAACCACTCTTGTTTGTCTGCTAGATCCTGCATTTGGATTTGATTGCATGCAGAATGTCAAGTTGAGCTGTTTGTGTTTAGCCATTTGAAGTACAGTATGTTAGACATCAGTTCCTTGGGGGCGGATTAAAATACTTACAAAAGCACTTAAAGTTAGTGGATCTCTGTATGTTACTATGACAATAGAGCTGTACATTCAGCCTACGGTGGGGTTGGGTCACAGTTTGGTGGGCGTCTTTATTTCACAGTTTTCTCTTTGTTGTCTGTCTCTCTCTTTCTCTCTGGATCTCTAAATAAACTGCTGTGTGTATGTGAGGTACATATGACTGTCTGGGCATGATAGTATAAAGAATAATAATAATAATAATAATAATAATAGTAACAAGTTTATTTACTTATCACCTTTCAATCAAAAAAATACAGCTACAAATGTGTCATAGTGTTTGCTTTAGAACAATGCAATAAAACTGTGCATAAAACATGTAAGACCTAAGGGTAAGGGAAATATCTTACATTGCACTTGTGCTTTACTTTTTTCCACTTTCTGTACCAAAAACACCCATAATTTATTTCTACATGATATTTTCCAATCTCTCCTCATCCCTACAGTGAACCAAACCATTTTTTTTTTGTTATTGTGTTATTAAGACTGTTATGTAAATGAGATCTGTTCTGATTGGCTGCCTTGTATTGTGCCTCATTCTAAAAGCCGTCCAGGCTAAAACACTCCTTATAACTTCACTGTGAGTGGGTGAGGCTAAACTGCTGTAAACTAAATAGGTGGATGTATGTAAATGTGTTTTTTGTGACATCACAAAAACAATGAATATAGTAAACATACAGTTTTTGCAGCTTAGTTTCCATACAGTACTGTGCAAGGGTCAGAGACCACTTTTCATTTATTTAATTTCCAATCAAAACAGTCTTTAAGTACGAAAATGTTGACACAAGATATCCATTTATATCCATAATAAAAATTAGCGGAAAAACAAGAGTTAAAAAAATGATCAAAAGATACAAAGATAATAGGACTCCTAACAACCATGCAACACCTGTCACACCATCATAACTGTCCCCGTCGGGTAAACAGTACTTAAATCTTTCATCTTTGAGAGAGCGGAGAAATTTAAGCTCCACTCTTGATTCAGATCTAAAAAAATTCACAGGTGTTTCTGTTCATCCTTCCACTATGGGAAGACAATTCAACACTATGAGTCTGATAGGATGTGCAGCTGTTAAGAAGCCCTCACTGAAAAAAAAGAACATTTGCAAATCAAGCAAAGAAGCTGCTAGTGTTCTAAAAAACAATAGACTGACCACCCCAGAGTCCAGACCTAATTTAAGTTTTTATAAATTTATCATTTTTACCTGAATCATGAGAGGCAGAAAATGCAACCAACTTCTAAGACTGAACTGGAGGTGTTAAAATGTCCCTGCAGATTTCTGTGAAAAACTAAAGGCACCTTTTCTGCTTTTTTCTGACTCTAAAAATGACTAATTGGCTATTGTGACTAATAATTAAATAAATCAAAGGAGGTCTTTTGAACAGTACTGCATATGGACTGTATAGACTGGAGAGGGAATTCTAAAACTAGAAAGGTTTATGTACCTTCAAAGTTATGTACATCAAAGTACTTGTTAAAAAATGTGGAAAATCTGTATTTTCTATTATATGGACACAAAATAACAGTAAAAAATGAGACAGTAGACAGGAAAAAGTGATAACAATTAAAGCATTTTAAAAATGCACAAAAAAAGAACAGAAAGTTCTCATATAATGCTACTCGACAATAGCTAACAATGGAAAATCAGCATCCTGACCCTGACAGTCTCTCTGCAGTCCAGTCATGACCACAAGCCTTCACTGTACTTCTGATTGGGAATTAACCAGGGTCACTCATAGAAAAAGAGTGCTGAAGGTTGAATATATGGACAAAAGAGAGAACAGAAACCAGGACTAGAGAAAGAGCGAGATGGCTGTAACTTGGCAATGCATCAGGCCTGTTGCATTGATAGTTGAAGCGCCCCTTTTATTCTTCCCTGTTTGTGGGCTTTTTATGGCCATGGCCAAGGAAACAAAGGAAGATTTAGAGCATGTCAGCGGAAGACAGTAGATTATCCTCAGTTTACGCCACTGTGGTTCAATACGCGAAGCTCGTACATGATAAAGAAAAGCGCGTGACATGCTACGGCGCTCGGTCAATACCCAGAGTGACTCCACATCGATTCAAAACACTAATTAAACATATTTTCGTCTGCATCGACTCCTCGATTGACTGCTTTTATTTTTAGAGCTCCCTGTGTATCAAGTGCAATTATAGGCCTATTAAATTGCTTTTTTCCCCAGCTTGTATTGATGTACATGCCAAGTGTGTTTTTAATAACAAGACTGACCCCATAGAGTAAATCTCTGACCTCATAAACATTATTCAAGTGAATTACGACTCTTTAGGAAATGTTTCAGGGTGTTATTGTACTGTTTGAACATTTAATTTACTCCACTCTTCTGAGAAGGCTTTGCACACAATTTTGGAGTGTGTCTGTAGGAATTTGTGCCCATTCAGTTGAAAGAACACTGGTGAGGTCAGACACTGATCTTGTATGAGAAGGCCTGGCTTGCAGTCAACATTCCAGCTCAGTTCAGTAGGGGTAAGTTGAGGGCTCTGTGCAGGCCACTGAAGTTCCTCTATACCAAGCTTGTCAAACCATGGACCTCGCTTTGTGCACAAGGGCACAGTCATGCTGGAACATACTTTCCCAAACCGTTGCCACAAAGTTTGGAGCATTTCATTGTCTAAAATGTTTTTGTACACTGTAGCATTAACATTACTCTTCACCAGAACTATAAGGCCTGAAAAACAGCTGCAAAGCATTATCCCTCCTCCACCAAACTTTTTTGTTGACACTATGCGTTCCAAGTAGGGTTCTCCTGGCATTTGCCAGCCCCAGATTCGTCCATCAGACTGCCGGATAGTGAAGCATGATTCATCACTCCAAAGAATGTTTCCACTGCTCAGGAGTCCAGCAGTGCTTTACACCACTCCAGCCGACACTTGGCATTACACATAGCAATCTAAGGCTTGTGCGCAGCTGCTCAACCATGGAAACCCATTTCTTGATGTACCCAATGCGCAGTTCTTGTGTGACCCCTATGTTTGTCTAAGGGGGTTGCAAGACTGTATGCTTAACATTGATATGCTTTATGCACCTCTTCGAAATGGGTTGAACTCAGTAATTAGGTGTTGCATGTGTGTCAGTGCTTTGAAATCAGCTCTGTAGCAGAGTGGTTAAGTCACCACTGCATAGTGTTAGGCACAACTCCTAACACAAAGCTTATGTTGCTGTGTAGGCACAGTGTAATTTGATCTATTCTGTCATCACACACCTTAACAGTCCGTTAATCACAGAAATGCATGTTATGATAATGATACAAATACCATTTATCATGTAGCTTTAATTCAGTACATCAAAAAGGAAATTATCCACTCTATTCATTATTTCTAAAAGTACACTGAATACATAAATTTGACCGGAGGAACTATTTATACTGTAGAGGAGTACCAGCAATAAAATCAAGACACCATTTTTTTTTTCAAAATCTGTACAATTAAATGACCAATTTCAGATCAATACAACATGATGCATCAATGAGCTTTTATACTTCTATAGACATCTCTCTCTCGCTCTCTCATTCTGTCTCCCTCTACTGTCACTGGATGTCTGAGCTGCTGGGCAGAGTGTGTAAGTGAAATAAGCATAATTTGTTGGCTACTCACACTTGGCTGACAAATGCTCATGTTGCCAGTCAAAGCCATCATAGTTTTTTTTTTTTGTTTTTTTGTTTTTTTTATACTAGCATTGTTTGGATGTTTGGCCAAACTCCAACTTGCATTAGTCATTTAAAACTCACCACTACGGTTAATGTAGTCATTTCCGGTGGAAAGTACATCCTGCATCATCTGAAGTCTCACACAAAGGCAAAATCCAACTTCTGCCAGAAAATTGGAGGGGAAGGATGCACAGTGTCATTGATGTGAAGCACTGCACTTAGGACACATCAAAAGCTATTTGACTACTTATTGTGCTTCCTAGAATTTTTAGCCTGCCAAGTGTGAGTGAGTGAGTGCGTGAGTGAGTGAGTGCATGAGTGAGACATTTCACTTTCAGATGCATGTCTGCAGCACTATGTCTGAACCTTCTCAATGTTCTTCTGTCCTCAGGAACCATTTCGGTAAACTCTGTCCGGACCCCATATCAGGCCCCGGGGGAGAGTGAAATCTTGGACCTAGATGATAACCTGTACCTGGGCGGTCTCCCTGAGAACAAGGCCGGCCTGGTCTTTCCCACTGAAGTGTGGACTGCCCTGCTAAACTACGGTTTTGTGGGCTGCGTGCGGGACCTCTTCATCGATGGCCAGAGCAAGGACGTGCGGCGCATGGCTGAGACGCAGAAGGCAGCGGGTGTCAAACCCTCCTGCTCGAAGGAGGCGCCCAAGCAGTGCCTCAGCAACCCCTGCCAGAACAACGGCATCTGCAGGGAGGGCTGGAACCGCTACGTCTGTGACTGCTCTGGAACTGGATTTCTGGGCCGCTCCTGTGAAAGAGGTGATTTTTAATTTAATCAACATTCTTAGCTTTTTCAAGAAAAACAAATCAAATGTGCACAGTTTTTCTCTTTTGTCTCCATTGTCTTTTATCAGCCAAAGATGTAATTGGTGACTAAGGAGCTGTGAGGCTATTGTATAAGTAATGGAAGATTATGCATACTAATTAGCATTGCGCAAACTTAATGCTTGAATCATCCCACACAACTGCATCAAGTTGTTATTCAATCTCAAATAGACCTGCTTATGTGTTTTTGTCCACTTTTATCAATAATAGTATGTCATACGGTGTCAGAAATCTTTTAGCCTTAAAGCTTTTACACACCACACGTGATTTTTCAGACGGTGAAAATGCAACATTGAATGTGTTTGCATGCTATCAATAATGTGATCATAATTGAATTTCTGCAGTTATCTGATTATTCAAATGGTCATGTAAACAGCATACTCCAATTCCTTAGATCAAAGTCTAGAAATCCGATTAAGAAACCTAATAAAGAGAGATGGATTTTAGCTCAGTAATCAGATTTCTCAGTGCATGTATACTCTTACTCTGATTTCTTTCGGATTTCTCAGTTTGTGCATGTTCTCAGACAGCATATTTTCAGGTAATGTGGTGAGATGTTTTAAAAAAAAAAGCCGCAGCATGAAGTTTGAGTTTTCCATAACGTTTACGCCACGTCTTCTTCTTTGAGTTCATTGGCTGATTGCAAAGCAGAAATCTGATTAGTGTCTGACTCATGCAGAATATTATCTGATTACTCAAATGCATGTAAATGCATTGTTACATTATTACAATGTGAATTACTGACAATTTTTCTGCAGTTATTGAATTATTAAATGCACATAAACATACTAATTAATCATCTTATGATAATCTCAATTTTTATGATTATTGATTTATGATTGTCTACATTTTTGTCAACTTTTGCTGGCAACAAAAACTCACTGACAAATCACGGTCAGCTCTGACAAGATGGAAGCACAGCGGTGTTCCAGTAAATTGAACTTTTTCACAAACACTAAAGGGTTCAGATTCTCCAAAGGTAGCTCAAACTGGGCTACAAACATCTGATTCATAGCCTGTGTGAAAGCACTTAGAGTTTTATCAACTAAATGAGGCTGTTTGTACTTTGCTGAAATGGACAGTAGCCCAGTGTCACCGTTATGCGACAAGCAAAGAATTGGATCTTATTTGCAGTTAAAGAGTTTCAGCCTGTTTGTTTAGTGCTTCATTTGGTGTGGAGCTGCATTTCCAAAATCAGCTCAAACTCTACTGAGATCCCAGTTGCAAGGAAAGTACTCACGAAGTTTTAGCTCTCCCGAAATGAGGTGGAGAAACTCCCTGTTCTCCTTTTGCTTCTTCAAAGTGGAAAACATCCTGCACTAACCCATAGTTTGCCCATTTCGTGAGGTGCAAAGGATCGTTTTTGATATAGTTGATATAAATTCTGCCAATACATATATTTTGTTATGTACTGTCCGTTTTTTTGCAGCACGCAAACATGGCAAAATAAAAAAGTGTTGTGTTCGGTGTGTAGTTGATGTGAAAAAAACGATTTCACACGGTCATATTTCTAACGTGTACATGTTTTCATTCATCAGTATAAAAAATACAACCATTGGGAATGCTTGTGGTGTCAACTAACTTTTGATTAAAGGATTCGTTGCATCATGCATCGTGTTCATCAGTTTGTTGGAGAATGTGCTGTAGGTGGTTCTTTATAGAACCTTTTTGAAAAGGATTCTATGTAGCACCAAAAAGCATTCTTCTCTAGTTATGATGTCAAGCCTGTAAAAGCTTTTTAAAAAGGTTTTCTATATAGAACGCTTTGCACCACATTCCCCATCAGTTTAAAAAGCCATTTTACTATGCAAAGAACCCTTTAATCATGCAAAGGGTTCTATGAGTGTTCATGGTGCTATATAGAATCACTGTCTTTACTAAAGAAGAATTTTTTGTAAGGCTAATAAATACAACAAGCTAGCATTATTGTAGCTGTCAGTCGTATAATAGTACCTTTTATCAATACAAAATGCTGGCCAGGTTGAGTTTTACCCCTTTCAGCCACAGAGAAGAAACCAAACGGAAGTATCTAGATAACCAGGTCCCCCTCATCTGAGGAGTCATTTGTGTCATTTAAGTAATCCATTCTCTTCGTTGTAATGATGATTTGAAGGCATGTACTGCAGTTAGACTGCTGCAAAAATGGTGTTCAGCTTCCTAGCAGTAAATGTAGGTATCTGGCATCCATCTGTGTTCACCAGCTAACATTTCAAAACGGCCTGCCCCCGACAATCCACCCCAACGTTTTTCCTGTCACCTTCAAGTAAGAAGGGGTTTTTCATAGTTTATAAAATGCAAACTCTTACAGACTACCGTAGCAGTGCTGTCAAAAGTGAGTAGGCGTGTTTAGAACAGATGCAGATGTAGTGTTGTTGACAGTTTTCATGTTGGCTGGAGAGCCCCTTTCACTTAACATAGTGTGAGGCAAGTGTAATGAGGTATGCAGTTAGGCATGCAGTTTGAACAACGCTAAAAACGTCCATTACTTGTTAGCTACTTTAGCTTGTAGTTTCAGTAAAAAACCTTACCTTTGAAACTTTAGGAGGTCTTTTGAAGTGTGTAAGTTTCAGGTATGTGGACGTTTTCTGCCACGTTGGCATGTTTAGACCAGATGTTTTTGAACGTTTCACTGGATGTCAGCTTATGTTATGGTCTTAGAGCTGTCTCTGTGGCGTCCTGGTGTTTTTTTAGGGGAGGTGGCGGATTTGAGTGCGGGGAGAGATGCGAATGTAATTGACATCAAAGGGAGCGTAAAATGAGAAGGGCTTAAAACATATTACACATGCCGGAGATTTTGAGTGCTTTGTCATAAGAGACCACCCTTTTGGTGAAAAGACCCAAGCCAGCATGCAGCTTACTGATGGCCCCCTTCTGTTGTCTCTATGAAAAGTCCCATTACGTGAAGGTTTTTCACTAACTGCACTTGTGGTCACACTGAAGATGGATTCAGTCAGTAGCACGGAGCTGGTTGTTTCTGCGGTGCTGTATTGGATCGCTTTAGTGTGTTCGTATGCCACCTTCACTTTTTTGTTATTTTATATACAATAACTTACAGCACCATGAAAAAGTATTTGCTCCCTCCTGATTTATTGCATATTTATTACACTTAAAGGGTAATTTTTCATATGTGTTGTGTAACTCAGTGGATAAGATGTAAGCAAATTCATTCAGTGTTTTTGTGTGAAAAGATTTATTGTAAAGTGACTTACCAGCTCATATTTATTTACAGCAGTGGAGACAGGAACCAGGGTCCAAAGTGTTCATAATTCAGAGTGAAGTGCCACTGCACTACTGAATTAGATTAAACTGCAGTCCAACAGTAAAAATTACCCAACAGGTTATTGGAATTAACTGGGAAAGTATGTAATACAGTCTTCACAGTACTATGTAATTATTTTACCAAGTAGTTATATGACAAAGATTGTACAAGAAGTCCTACATGGCATGTCCCTGTTAGTTACCTAGAAACTAAACTGAATGTAGGCTGTGAAAGAAAGTAATTATTTTTACTGTGGTTTTACCGAGTCTTCACCAAAATTAACTTTAGCTCTTTTCATGCCACGTAATTACCTGGTGCTTGAAGGTGTTTCCAGTTAATGCTCATGCTTGAACATGTGGCATTGCAGTGAAATTTAGCTGGAGTACGTTTGTGCTGACCATCTTATTACTGCAAATAGTTATAAGGTATTTCATCAGCTTAATAGCTAGAACCTGTTAGTCATTTCAGCATCATTTAGCTATACTTACTATCATCTTACCCAAAATAATTACCTAATACAGTGTTTTTCAACCAATGGACCATGGTCCACCAGTGAGAGATGCTGGCACTGTTAGCAGGCTGTTTTTTGTTACAATGTAGACCTTATGTAACCAAATGTTATTTTAAATACAACAAATATTGTTTGCAAAAGCAAAATATCATATTTATATTGAACGCATTGGTTGGACTGGCAAAATGTTAGCTATTCATGTTTACATCTTCAGTACAAGTCAATGTGCAGTGAACAGTGTTCATATATGTATGTTGTCACTGTCAAGGTACTGTTAAATTTAATGATCAGTACTCCTTTTTAAAAAAACAGGGTAGATGCATATAAACCATTCATATACTGTTTTAACACTGCTGTTGTTAATTTACAGAAATAGAACATAAATTAAAATTTTAATGTAAAAATCATCTATATTTCACAGACATTTGTGTTTACTTTAATGGTTATTACTGTTATTATTATGGTAAAATACTGTATGTGAGAACAAGTAGTTGAATTAGTGAAACTATTGAACTGCAGTAAAAGGCTGTATTTCCAAGAAATGAAGTGACTGTAATTTCTGAAATTTACCTTCAGAATAATCATTTTAAATAATGATAATTTCACAGAACTTTACATAATTACTCCTTTCTCAACTTTTTTGGAGCATGTTGCAGGCATCAATTTCAGAGTGAGGTGTATATTTACAAAAACAAAGCTGCAAAGACACAACATTACATATCTTGTCATTATACTGTTCATACGCAGGTCAAAACAGAGTTGAGAAATCACTGCTTTCTGTGTTTATTTGCATTGTTCCTCCTGTCAACTTTTCAGTAATGGGGTTTGTACATTCTTAGTCACCTGGTTAATACCTAGAACTGTAAAGGAAAACATTATGAAACTATTTGCATAAGTGCAGCGAATCTGTGCTCTCATGTTAACTGAAAGACAAACTGCTGGCAGTATCTCATTAAGCTTTGTAACAGTTGGTTTATTAGTGGACTAAATTACGCTCCAGTTTCTAAATGGGAAAAAAAGGAAAAAGTGCTGTCGTGACCTGTTAACCTTTCTGTCATGGTGCTGCTCGCGTGTGGGGGAACGTATAATTGGTTTGGAGTTTTTGAATCTGCCTTTCTGTCTCTGTGAACGTATGTGTGTGTGTGTTTGTGTTGTCCCTGGGAG